CATGAGATATTTTGTGAGATCCTGAACACAGGCCGACCCACCTTGGGACACAGGCAACCACATGCCACCTCTGCTCAGAAACTCCCATCCCATTCTCACATCCTGATGAACATGGCTTTGTGGCTCTTAGGAGATGCCAACATGGTGTGAGTGCACCATTGCTAGTGGCAGCAGTGATGCTTCTGTTAAAACTAAAGCAGGAGAGAATAACCAGGGCATATATTGCATAGTGCTGCAGTCGGCAGAATGGCCCCTGAGCTACACGCTGATCCTCTCTTTGGAGAGTCCAGAAATTGTTGGAAGTGGGAGGAATGGAACTAGATTGGAGGATTGGAAGGCCTATTTGAAAACATTTTAAGTTGTTACACAAGCTGATGAGGCATGCCTACCTTTTATTCATTTTAACTATTGAAATGCCAAAGTAAGGGGCAGAGCAAAATTTTGACATTCACACACGTCTTAGTTCATTCTGGCTACTGTAATGACATAAAGTGGGTGGCTTATAACAACATAAATTTATTTCTCATGGTTCTGCAGGCTTGCACGTCCAAGATCAAGGTGCCGGCCTGAGTAAATGAAAAGGTAAAGATAGGCTACCCAGGCAAAAGGAACTTGCTAGGCAATGGCACAAAGACATGGCCAAATGTAGAATGTTCTGGGAAAGGTTAGTTGTTCAGTGTTGCTGAAATTGAAGGTGCACAGAAGGGAAGAAAGAGAAGGAGATGACTCTGGAGCAGCAGGCTTGAGCCCCACAGCAAAAGGCTTTGTGAAGCATTTGTTCAAAGTAGTGAGAGTCATAGGAAGTTTGTTTTGTTTCTCCTAAGCCAGAGGGGTGGTAACATCTTATTTAGGAAGATCTCTCTGCAGCTGTGTGGGGGATGGGTCAGCTTTTCCCTAGTCTAGAATGAGACAGTGAGGTTATGTGTTCCAGGAGGGACATGGGCTATGAAGTCACTAAACAGTGCACCTATTTGTCAGGTACACCAGCATTATTTCCTAAATATATTTCCAAATATTTAACAGGAAACTTTTATCTCTAAAGAATGTTTGCCCATCACACATCATAGAGGGATGATAAAGCTATAGGTCATGGACCTGGTGGGACTTGGTGGGAGCTGACTGAATCATGGGGGGCAGATTCCCCCACAGTGTTCTCATGATAGTGAGTAAGTTATCACTAGATCTGATGGTTTTATAAGCAGTGGTTTCCCCTGCTTTTCTCTCTCCTGCCGCCTTGTGAAGAAGGTGACTGCTTCCCCTTCCACCATGATTGTAAGTTTCCTGAGGCCTCCCCAGCCACGCGGGACTGTGAGTCAATTAAACCTCTTTCCTTTATAAATGACATAGTCTCGGGTAGGTCTTTATAGCAATGTGAAAACAGATTAATATGGTAAATTGGTACCACAGAGAGTGGGGTACTGCTATAAAGATAACCTGAAAATGTGGAAGTCACTGTGGAACTGGGTAATGGGCAGAGATTGGAATAGTTTGGAGGGCTCAGAAGAAGACAGGAAGATGTGGGAAAGTATGGAACTTCCTGGAAAATTGTTGCATGGTTTTGACCAAAATGCTGGTAATGATGTGAACACTAATATCCAGAATGAGGTGGTCTCAGATGGAGATGAGGAACTTCTTGGGAACTGGAGCAAAGGTTGCTCTTGTTATGCTTTAGCAAAGAGACTGGTGGCATTTTGGCCCTGACCTAGAGATCTGTGGAACTCTGAACTCGGGAGAGGTCATCTGAAATAGAAACTTATGTTTAAAAGAGAAGCAGCCATAAAGGTTTGGAAAATTTGCAGCCTGACAATGTGATAGAAAAGAAAAACTCATTTTCTGAGAAGAAATTCAAGCCACTGCAGAAATCTGTATCAGTAATGAGGAACCAAATGCTAATCACCAAGACGATGGGAAAAAATGTCTTCAGGGCATGTCAGAGATCTTGGCAGCAGCCCCTCCCATCACAGGCCTAGAGGCCCAGGAGGAAAAAATAGTTTTGTGGGCCTGGCCCAGGGTCCCGCTGCTCTGTTCAGCCTCAGGACTTGGTGCTCCATGACCCAGACACTCCAGCTACAGCCGTGACTGAAAGGGGCCAAGGTTCAGCTTGGGCCATTGCTTCAGAGGGTGCAAGGCCCAAGCCTTGGCAACTTCCACACGGTGTTGGGCCTGTTCCACCAGCCGGCTCCTTCTGTTCTCACCATTCATTTGTGTATTCGATGATCGCCAGCTGATTACCTGCCATGTGCTGTACAGAGGGCCTGGAATTCCCTTAAGGTGTGACACACTTGGGTGATGACTGCATGGCTGAGTTGTACATACACTGGCCTATAAAGACAAGAAGGCCTTGCGTTTTTCAAGAGCAGGCCTTCACCAGAAGTGACCAAGGGTTCAGGCTGAAGCTAAGTGGTCAACCGGATCAGCACAGTTACTGGGGACACGGGTGGGCAGCAGGAAGGAAAGAAAGGCCGAAGAGGCTTCCCAGGGAGAGGGAGTGGTCTGTGCAGAGAGAGGGTCCCCAACCAGACCATGGTTTGCTCAGACAACTTTAAATATTTGATACATCTGAAAGGAGGCCTGTATATGTGGGCGGAGCGAAGGCAGTGCTAAGAGATAAGAACAGACACATCACATCATCAACACCTCCTGGTTATGCTGAGAGACTAATGCATTACACTGACATGATAGAGAGTGCCTGCAGAATCTATGCGGCCGAAGGCTTGATCAGCTTTGGGTCTTGTAAGCATCACTTTGATGGCTGTGGAGGAGATTGGCCTCGGGGAGGGAGACATTGGACATAGAGATGCAAAGAGAAATTTATTGAAGCCACTCTTGCTTCAAAAATCAATGACAAAGGCAATGAAGATGAGGCGGCAAGTTTGCAAACATACTTAGGAAGCCAAATAATTGAAAGAATGGATCAAAGATGTTTACTGTGTCTGTTCAACTAATGACAAATTTTAAAAGGCAGGGATAAGCTCAATGATGGCATAAAATGTGCTTCAGGTAAATTGCCATCTTTCTTGATGTCTGCATGTTATATTTTTTGCAACTGCCTTACCTCCTCCTACTTCAACACACCCAGTAAAAATCTGCAATTACACACACACACACACACATACACACGAACACACACACAATTACTTAGCCCTTTACCAACAAATACTCAGCAAACAGGAATAGTGAAGCCTTGGTTAGTAGTTCCCAATTGGACAAGTCATCAAAAAATACAGAAGCTCCAGCCCCCTCAAAGCTTCTGGTTCATTCTATCTGCAGCAGCTCTCTACCTTCAGCACAGCCAGCAGTGACGCCCTAAATGCTGGCATATGCTCTGGCATATCCCAGTGACAGCAGCGGCTGAGGCACTGAAGCAGGGACCCTCAGCACCCTTGCAACTGCATCCTGTGTCAGGCATCTGTTGCCACTGAATTTTGGGGAGGGCTGGGTGATGCAGGGCCTGGGAGAGAAGGGGGAGCGTCCAGTCACATCGAGGCTCAGAAGAGTGGCTGGTTACCAACCACGATGGAGGGACTGTGATATTTAAGCATCACTCTGCACCAAGGAATGTGGCCCGATTACCTGTGTTCAGCACTTCTGTGGAGTAAGAAGCTGTCACAAGTAACAGCGACTCACATCAACAGTATTCCCTATGTGGGGGGTTTGAACACCCACTGTTTGGGAGAGAGTATAGCATTATTTCCAAGAGCATGTGCAGGGAGTATAAGGCACTCTAAATGATCCTGATCTCTCTCCACCAAACCGCACCTGCTGCCAACCCTCCAGAGTTCAGTAAGGACATCCAGCTCTGCAAACAACTGTCCCCTTGAGTGTGGACACCCGCCCTTTAATCTCTGCAGATCTGTCCAACATTCTGAAAAGTGCTTGAATCCATGCATTTTCAGGCCATATACTTCCTAATAAAAGAGGATCCGGCAATCAAACCTGATAAGATTGATTTGCCAGGACAGAATCACCCTTCATGTGAGAGGGCAAACTCGGACAGGGGCCAGCAAAGAGGCACACTCATGTCAAGAGAGTTCAAGATGTCACGGCTAGCAGAGGTAGCCTGAGACCAGAAAGCAGGTACACAGACATAACATCAGATGCCGAGCAGGCTGGAGTCCCTGCTGGTGAGGAGGAAGCTGGTGATTCATCCCCTGCAGCTGCTTCTTGACCTTGCTTAACCTTCAGGCTGGTTCAGTGGGCAGAGACCCTGACTCAGAGAGATTCCATTTTAGGGTTTCACCTTGGGTTGCCATGCCTTCTGCAGATGGTGGTGGCTTTAGTACTTGACAGCAACAACCTGGAATTTTCTAAATGTTCGTTGTTTGTCTAAGTGCGGACAAAAGATGATATGTCTCTCCTGCTTTCACTATATTTTTATGACCAGCACCATGATGTCACTGCATACGCATCAACAGCAAGCGATGATTTTAAAAACAAGTCTCACATAAAAAACCAGCCCCTTTCTCTGGGGAGAGCATATGTGTATTCCATTCGGGATGGAAGTAATTTCAGTGCAATCATTACAGGAACAGGCACCCCAGCTCCGGCAGCCGATTCAGGGCTCCTCCTGTGAATTCCCACTTCCCTGCTTGCTGTGTACAAGCCAAATGCCCTCTCAGAGCCACAGTGCCTTTCAGACTCAGGCACCCCGGACGGTAAGAGGCCCTACTCTCACAGACGGACGAAGGAGGAATGGAGCTTTCACTCCCTTCACCTTTGCCATCCAAGGACCTCCCTTTCCTTCCTCCCTTCTCACCTTTGTCATAAAGGGCACAGCAGAGAGGCTACCAGAGGGAATTCTAAGTTTCTACCTTTTTTAGAATAAATATTTTATTTAGAATAGTTATAAATTTACCAAAAAAGTTGCAAAATTAATACCAAGAGTTCCCACCTGCCCCGTGCCCAGTTTTCCCTATTGTTAACACCTTATATACTACTACGGTATTTTGGTCACAACCAACGAATCAATACAGATCCTTATTATTAACTAAAGTCCATACCTTATTCAGATGTCCTTGGTTTTCACCCAATGTCCTTTTCCTGCTCATGGATGGTATTCAGGATACTATACGACATTTATTCATCTCATCGTAGGCTCCTCTGGGCTGTGGCAGTTGCTGGGTCTGTCCATCTTTTTGGCGACCTTGACAGTTCTGAGGAGTGCTGGTCAGGCACTTTGCACTCTGTGCCTGAGTTTGGGGTTTTCTGATAGTTTTCTCATTATTAGAATGGGGTTACGGGTTTGGGGGAGGAAATGCTCTTCTCATCACCACATCATGTGAGTATATGCCACCAACGTAATGTGTCACTGTTCATGCTGCCCTTGGCCGTGGGGCTGAGGTAGAGTTTCTCAACTGTATCCGCTGTGGTTGCTTTCCTCACCTTTCCACATGCACTCCTCAGCAGAACGGCACTCTGTATAGCTCACACTTACAGCAGGGTGAGATGTGATGCTCCACTTCCTGGAGGGAGAAGAGAATGTAAATTATACATTAAATGGAATGATTCTGCACAGGATTTGCATCTCTTCTTTCTCAGGTATTTATTTATTCAACCATTAATTGATAACAATATGGACACGTGGATATGGGTAATCAACTCTGGGTTATGATCCAATCCTGTGTTAGTTTTCGGTTGCTCAAATTGCTGTGTATGTGGCAATCTGGGCTCTTTCAGTTGGCTCTTGTGTCCCTTGGACATAACCCCCATCGTCGTCAGGTGGGTTTTTGGGGTGTTTTGTTTGTTTTAAATGCTGCCTTACTTACTGACACTACAAGATGCCCCAGGTTCATCCTCCTTTTTCTGCCTTAGCCCTAGAATCACCTATTTCTGCAAGGGGCTTAGGCTTCCTTTGTTGGAGAATGGTATTAGAAGCCATGATCTGGGCAGGAGCTGTGCTAATTGCTACTGGAGTGTTATTGCTTCTGGGTCCTCTCAGCTGACAGAGAAAGGAAATACATTCTCACCTATATACACTTTATTACATTGTATGTCCTTAATAACTATCAAATTTCCTCCAGGCTGAGAAGAATGGCCTGGGATGAGGTACAAAGTATATGGGCCAATAAACTAGTAACTGATAAATATTTCTACTAAACAGAGCCCACATATTGCTTTGTAAAGCAACTGTAGAGGTCCTCAGAAGTTTCAAGACTTGAAGTATTTAATACTGAACCTTTGCATAAGTGACATGTCCTAAGAAGCATTCATCTTATGAATTTTGTCCCAAAGCTAACTGTTAGCTGCTGACTTCTATAGCTCTCTGTGCAAATGCGAGCTAGGTTATAATCCAGCTATATTTTAACGGTTTCTTTTTTTATGTTTTCTTCATCCATGTGGTTGTTAATGAATGAAAGTCAGACTTTAGGTGTATATCTTGTATTCTGAGCAGCTGGATCAAGTGCCTGATGCATTCTAAATAATCAATAGACATTAGGTGAATAAATGAGTGCATAAGTAAATGAATTGCTGAGTGAGTTATCATATCTAAACCAAGTAGGATATGTCATGAATAGAGTACTCTAGTTAATGGTACTTGGAAGTATGACTGTCACTTATAAATACTCTCAGAAACTTATGCACCATCGTTTTAGAAGGCCTGGAGAAGTTCCCAAATTATGGTTTTCCAGCCTTGGAGCTCACTTAGGGGCATATGAAAAACAGATGACATTGCCATGCCAGTGCCACCTTTCTCCAGATTGCTCCCAGGGCCACTCTTTCAGAGCCTGAGGGCTCTGACGATGGGAAAGCACTGGCGCCTCATCCTCTCCATGCTGTCTTCCAAAGCTGTTCCTATTCTTCCATGACTGATGATGCATGCAGTCACGTGAACTCTTCCCATCATAATTCTTCGGTTCATATTGCAAATGCCAACATCCAATTTATATTTTATTTAAGAACCAAAGTAGTTTTGCAAGATTATATTACTTTCAAAGGCAATGGAATCACTTTGTTTTCCCATGTTTTCAAAGTTATCTTAAGTAGTGTAATGGATCGACTCACACAGTGCCTTTCATCCTATTCCAGGTAACAGTGGATGGCAAATTATTTACCAGGGCTTTGAAACTGGGCTCCACAGTGAAGCAGCTTAACATGTGGTTCATTCATCTTCCTCCGATTCTATCACTAGCCCCCTCCTAGCCAGTGTGGCTCTTTCCGCTTCTTAGCACCAGGCATTGAAAGTTTTCTCAGGCAGACGAAGGAGTGATGGGCTCTTTGTGGATGCCTGCAGTTCCAGCAGGCAGCTTTATGGCTTGTGGTCTGAGACGCTTGGATGGATTCTTTCTCTTGCCCCTGGGCCCACTGGTTACCGTATAATACATTGCTTTATTCCCTGTCCCAGCAGTCAAAATGTGGGGCTTTGGAGAAAAGCCAATCGTGCATGCTCTTATGACACTAATCCAAATATGTGTTTATTCAAGGGTGCAGTTGTGCAACCTTTGTGCCCTGAGGCTCCCTGGACAATTGTGGCAGGCTAAAAATGGTCTGATTGGCCTGCATTTCTCACTGGAGAGCTAGGCGACAGAGTTCGTTTTGCTCATTACCGGCCTCTCTCCCAACCCAGTCTGTAGCCCTCCGTAGGGCTGGGTTGCAGCTGCAAACAGTGTTTTTGTCTACAGTGCCCTCTCTGAAAATAGCTGTCCTTGTTGTGACTGAGATATTTAGGTCTTTTTTCAGTAGCACCCTTATTTGATTGACTGATGGGCCTGTAAGTTATTTTTGAATCTGGGTTATTTCTATTTCTGATATAAGTTGCTACAGGCTGCATAATTGCTCAACCCATCCTTTTTATTTGATAATCTATACTAAAAAAGTAAACTGTTTTGTTGTAAAGTCTATATTTTTTTTTTTCAGAAATATTGATGGTCAGAACCCAACACTGGGCGTTTCCCCCAAACATAAATTACGTTGCTTAGAGGCATAACATGTCAACATCTTTGTGTCTACTGCTTTCACAAGAATCTTTTTTAGGATTCTTTTTCTGGAGGAAAAAATAAACAAAAACATATCAAATTCTCCTGTGTAAATTATCTGTGAGGTCCACAAAAATGAAGGGATGCTGTCTGTCAATGAAGATGTTATCGAGAGGAATTGAAATTAATAACTACATCGAATATGGGGAATTGGTTGTCTCAATGACAAGAGTTTGATAAATTGAATTATTCACACTACACAGAAATTTAATTAGAGATGGTATCTTAGGCATAATCTATAAAAAGAAGGTCATGAGAGTTTGGAGACAAGTGACTATAGAGCTAAGACAGAAAATATCAGATTTGTGCAAATTCAGCCAGGCAGTTTGCACGTGTAGTAAAAATTATAAATATTTTCTGTGTTTTTAAATGTCAAATGTGTATTGTAAATTCAAGTAGTTTTATAATCTTTATTGAAATAGCATTTTTAAGTTATAAAAATGAACAAAAATCTAACTGGACAAGGAAGTGATCTAATGATTTACTAATTATTAAAGTAAGTGATTAGACTAAGAACAATGGTGCTGAAATTCTTCGTCACAAAATTGTCATCCCAATTGTCATTACAGTTGAGTGATTAATTCAAAACAATGCTGTTTTAATAAACAATAAATAAGTAAATAAGTAATCAACTTAGATTTTGCTCTTGGAATATACTATACATTTGTAAAAGACAAACGAAATTTTTACCAAAAACTTTATTCATTCTACACAGCAAAGTATACTATGAAGCGAGGTGATATGGTGAGATAAATAATTGCCAGGCTAGAAGCAGCATCTAGGTAGGACTCTATTAAAAATGTTTGCAAACTTAACATACTTCAATAAATTTTTCCTCAACCCAAGTATCACTTTTACCTAATTGCCTACATACTCAGGGTATGAAGAATATTTCATGAAATTATAGGTTAAATTTAGAGTAAAAATATAATCAATTTTGTTTGGCTTTGGTCTTGTATACATTATATTTATATAATTTATTCAGAGTTACTGACAATTAGTAAATGACTACTTCAACCTGTAATGAGAAACTCACTTTAGTCTTGCAACTAGCTGTTCAGAAATTTAAGTTACGTTATGTGTACTGGGAATAGGGAAAACTGGCATAATATGCCATTATCTCACACAGTGAAAGCAAACTTTTTTAAAACAAACTTTTAAAAAACTTCAGAATATTCTTAGCTGACAACAAAGCTGCAAAGACAGTACAGAGCCCTCATATATATACCTTGCATCCAGTTATTCCCTATAATTAACATCATTCATTACTAGGGTATGCTTGTCACAGCTACTGAAACAATATTCATATGTTATTATTAACCAAAGTTATGCTTTATTCATATAGCCTTGATTTTTCACCGAATGTCGTCCTTCTGCCCCAGGATCCCATCCAGGATACTGTGTGACATTTAGTTGTTATGTCTCTGTAGGCCCCAGTACAATGTGACACTTTCTCAGACATCGCTCGTTTTTGATGACCTTGACATATTCTAGGAGTCCTGGTGTTTTGTACTATGCCCATTCTGGGGGGTTTGTCTCATCTTTTTCTTATGCTAAGACTGGGGCCATGTATTTTGGGAAGAAGACTGCAGAAGTAAAGTGCCCTTCTCCTTATATCAGATCAATAGTACATGCTGTCAATATGAATTATCACTGGCGAGGCTGACTCTGATCATCCGGCTCAGGTGGTATTTGTCAGATTTTTTCCACTGAAGGTTTACTCTTTCACTATTTCCATACTGTACTCATTGAAAAAATGATTTCACTCTGCACAGCCCACATTTCAGGAATAGGGAGATACAGTCTGCTTCTTTAAGGGCATCGTATAAAGTATTTGAGATTCTTCTGCACAGGATACTTGTCCACTTCCTATTTATTTATGAGTACGGACTCATGGATATTTATGTTTTGAGTAATAATGCAATACCGTTATTTATTTTGTCAATCAAATTGGAACCAAAGTATTTTATTTCATAGTTATTGGCTTATTTTTCTCAGTCAAAATCTTGTTTCCTAATCAGTATTCATAAATTATTATTAACATTATTATTATTATTTGAGAAGGAGTCTCACTCTGTCCCCCAGTCTGGAGTGTAGTCACAAGATCTCAGCTCACTGCAAGCTTCGCCTCCCGGGTTCCCGCCATTCTCCTGCCTCAGCCTCCCGAGTAGCTGGGACTACAGGCGCCGCCACCACGCCCGGCTAATTTTTTGCATTTTTTTAGTAGAGACAGGGTTTCACCGTGTTAGCCAGTCTCTATGTCCTGACCTCGTGATTCACCTGCCTTGGCCTCCCAAAGTGCTGGGATTACAGGCGTGAGCCACCAGCGCCCGGCCTTTTTTTTTTTTTTTTTTTTTTTTTTTTTTTGAGATGGAGTCTCACTGTTTCTCAGGCTGGAGTGCACTGGCGCCATCTCGGCTCACTGCAACCTCTGCCTCCTGGGTTCAAGCGATTCTCCAGCCTCAGCCTCCTGAGTAGCATGCCACCAT